AGGCCTTGTGTGCCATACTTTCTAAGTCCTGTGCCAGCTCTTGTAGGCTCTCCCCTTTAGTACGAACTCTCGTCCTAAACCTAGCCCTGTAGACTTCCGACTGATTTTGGGTTCCATACCTGAGTTCTAGAGCGCTACCAGTGCTCTATAGTTATGCCTGTCACCTACTGACAACTGTCCAAATATTTCCAGAGGTTGTCCCTTCAAGCTCGTTGCCAGATATACTGCTTTCTTCTCCTCTGTCGATCCATTCATCTCTGCCAGTAGTTCAAATTGTGCTCTATATGCTTCCCACGGTGCCTTCCCATCGAATTCCTGTGGCTTCCTTCACACTGGTTCACTCCTATTACTGACATTCATATCTGGGATGTCACTTCTAACAGGACTGAATATGTCTGCATTAGGGTTTAGCTGCAGGGTCTGGAAGGGGCTTGCCGTTGTCTGGGGCTGATTAAGTCGATAGTTAATGTATCCGACTTGTGAAAAAGACAATAAATCATCCTTTAATATATTTAATTCGCTTTGAAATTTACTAATGTTTTCCATTTGTACTTCTTGTTTCCTTCCTTGTTCCAGTTGCCACTGCTTATAGTCTCTCTTCTTGTTTATGTTCTCGTTTTTCTTGTTTCTTTTCTTTTTCCTCCAACAACTGCTGTAACCTCTCTTTTTGTTTATTTTGCTGTTCGAGCTGCCACTGTTGCAGGTTTTCTTGCAAATGTTGTTGTCTATCTTCCTGTTTTTTTCTTTTTCCTCAAACAGCTGCTGTAATCTCTATTCTTGTTCCTTTACTCGTTCTTCTTGTTTCTTTTCTTGTTTATTTTCTCGTTCTTCTTGTTTCTTTTGCTGCTCTTGTATTGCTGCCATCAAATCTGCTAAGTTGTAGTTTGATTTGCCGCTTCTCGTTTCCATTTTTTTTGTCCCACTCTCTGACACCAATTTGTTACGTCTCTGTTCGTTAGATAATTTTCTGTATAATTTCTTTCCGAAGAAACTTTAGCGATACAAGTCCTTTCTTAAATAAAACTGGTTTATTCTTTCTAAATACAACTTTGCAATACACTGAATTTCCACAGTCGCGCTATAACAAACGCTATAATTCACAACGAACGTCTCACGTGCTCGACTCAATCCTCAATCTCTGTCTGCAGTTCAATTACATTGTTGCCGTCACTTCTTGGCCATTATAATAAGCTTCACTGGCTCGAAGAGGGGGTATTAACCATAAAAACCATGTTGTTATAAATGTCTTATATATATATTGTTTCGACAGCGGAAGTCACGTAACGCTGGTAACACGTGATGAGTTTCTAGAGGATTCATGAAGAGACGAGATGTACGCTTTTATAATATATAAGACCGCCAAGAAGTGACGGCAGCAATGGAATAGAATTGCAGACAGGCAGAGACAGAGACGGACAATTGAGTCAAGCACAGTAGTGACCGTAAGAAAGTGCGCGAATTGTTGTGAATTATAGTGTGTGTTTAAGTTAAAGAGACTGTGGAAATTAAGTGTATTGCAAAGTTGAGTTGAAAAAGAATAAACTAGTTTTATTCAAGAAAGGACTTGTATCACTGAAGTTTCTCGGAAAGAATTTCTACGGAAAATTAACAAACAAGTACATACACAACAATACATAATCATTATTGCACTTTCATCAACTTGAAACTGTTCGTGAGTTATTTATGGAAAAGTACTCTAGGAGAATGGAGCATGCCAACATGTTATTTCAGTAGTACATACATATTGTTACGACATCGGGGTCACGTGACGCTAGTAACACGTCATTG